TATTCAAACGTGGTAATCTTTGATTTCACACATTCACACCTTATCAATTTAATAAATAATAGCAATAAATAAAGAAAATGAGTGGTACTGATTCCACCATTACTCCTATATCTATCTTAAATTTTAAATGCATGTCCCAAAAACAGACGCAAATACTTTATAATAATGATAATGACAATGTAACCAACAACTAATTTTGCATTCACATGCATTAATTAAAATTAAACTACACTTAAGAGTGTTTACGTGTAAATATTAACGAGTAATACTTGAGCTCAAGAATTAAACTATAGAATATCTAAACTATAGAAAATCGCATATTATTATTATTAATATTATTACTATTATTATAAGTATTTTTAAGTCTCAACAAGTCAACTCAACTATACCAGAGGTTGGGGGAAGAATTCTGAAATGAACTCACAATGGACTTGTTTCATTTAACAATGCCGAGAAAATAAAAAATTAAGTACCAAAAAGAACAAAGCGGAAACAAAACGAGAACGGCCAAAAAGTAAGTGTATGAAAAATTGACGCAATGTAGGCTTGTACCCAAATTGGTGGAGCAAAATTCAGTTGTACCTGGTGAACCTCCACGCTTGGGAATTTCTCCCTGAACCGCTCGGCGACCTCCTTCCCCAGCGGCGCACCGCCGCAGCCCAGCGTCTGCAGTGACCTCAAATCGTACTTATCCACCAGATCGGACTTCGCCATGGCCACCACCAGCGGTGGCGAGACCGGTATGTACGTCACCTTGAACCTCTCCACCGCCTCCAACATCCTCACAAAATCGAATCTCTCCATTATCACAACGCTTTCTCCCAGCGCCGCCGCCCTAATCAGCATGAAGAACCCGAACACGTGGAACAGCGGCAGCGTGAAGATCGACACCGGTTGGATGCGGCCGCCGCCGGCGTCGGCTTCCTTCGATTTTTCGTCGTCGGCCACCTTGTTGTGGTACATCCCGGCGATCACCGCGATCAGGTTCCGGTGGGTGAGGACTACGCCTTTGACCTTCCCGGTGGTGCCGGAAGAGTAGAGGATGGCCGCGGCGTCCGATTGGCTCACGACGACGTCGTTTGGAGCAGTCGAGGGATCCGATTCGAGCATCGAGGCGAATTGCGGCGAATCGAGGAGAATTAGTGGGACATTTTTGGGGATTTTGGTGGCAGTTTGGGAGGTAGCAAAGGCGACGGCGGGTTTGCAGAGGCGGACCTGGTGGCTGAGCTCCGGCGGGGAGGATAAGGGGTTAGAAGGCGAAACGACAACGCCTAGGGAGAGGAGAGAGAAATAGAGGACGGGGATGTGGAGGGACGGCGGGGAGAGGACGAATGCGACGTCGTTCCTTGAGAGGAAGGGTTTGAGGGAGGATGAGAGGGAGGCGACCTGGCGGAGGAAGGTGGAGTACGAGAGGCGGCGGTCGGAGGCGGCGTCGATGAGGAAAGGGGTGGTGAAGAAATCTCCTGTGGCGGTGGCGGG